GTATTAAATTATATTGACCCTTTAAAAGAATATTTGAAAGTAGTGTATGATGAAGATCGAGATGAATTCATGGAAATTCATGTTGAAATAGGTACATAAATTTAAAATCCCATTTTTGGTATTGTGCATATCAAAATAAATTTTTTTTTTTCCCTTTATTTTTTTAGAAGATCCTTCTACAATTTTTGAACCAACGTTTGAAGACGTCATGACGTTATGGATTGCGGTTATCATTTGGGGTACCCAACTTATATTAGGCCGTCTTTTATACAAGAAAGTTGGTTTTAAGATTACTGGTAAAATCTATGGTTTAATACAATAGAAAATAAGTTCTAAAAATCACCTTTTTTTTTAATCATGTATTTGCATATGGTTGTACAATGTCGACTTCTGAAAACGATTTATGTAAATGAAAAATTTTATTGCAGTATTCTTAATAAAATAAATAATATATTTTGTAATACCTAATTTATTTATTTTTAATTTTATTAAATATAATAATAAGATACTTAAAAATAAAATTATGAATTAGATGATAATCTGATTAAGTTATAAATTTATTAAAATATATCATCTCAGATTGTTTAGCAGGCAAATTTACCTGCAAACTTAAAAAAAAAAAGATTAATTTTTTAAATAAAATATTAAATATTAATTTTAGTAATATAATAATTATAGTTTAGTATATATTTTTCAATTTTATTAGAAAAAATTTTAAGTTTATTAAGAAGTTTTTTAAATAATTAAAAATTTTTATCTTAAAAATTCATATGTTTGTGAATTGATTGAATCACTTTACTTTTAATAATAATTATAAAATTTCTTAATAAATCATAAAAATTATAATAAATTTTATAATATTATATAAAGTAAACTTTAATAAGTTTAATAAATATTAATAATAAATTTTTTAAAAATTACAAATTTTTATATTATAAGTAATTTTAGATATTTTATTATATAATTAATATCAATTTCTATAAAATAATATATATTTATAATAATAAATAAGTAAAAAAAATTATCTGCGTATCACACAGAATTTATAATATATATAAAATCTTTATAATAAAATTTTCAATTAATAAATTAAATATATTTTTAAGAGTAAATTTATTCATTGCAGGGGTAATACTCCTTATACATCACCTTTATATATATACCTTACTCTAACTCTAATCCTAATCAGTGTTGGAAATTGGACCAATTGGACTTAGTAAAACTGCGCCACAATTTGAATTGGACATATGAATTTTATATGTCCAATTGTCCAATTCATGCAATTGGAATGATAAAATTGCCAACACTGATCCTAATCTAACCTATGTGATACAAATATATGTGACGAATAGGGGTTCACACATGAAAAAATTTTTAAGTCTCTAAAATATATATGAAAAATGAAAAAGGGAGGGAGTGTGACATAGATGACAAAAAGGAAGCGATGATATTATATCTGCAATGAATAAATTTACTCTATTTTTAATTAACAATTATTTTAATTTTAATTATAATTAATTTTTTATATAATTAGTTACATTTATATAATTACTTTTATTTTATAATATATTAAATTAAAATTACTAATAAATTTATTAAAAATCCTTTTATTATTATATTTAATAGCTTTTTTTATACTTATTTAATCCTAAAAAATATAATTATATTTATAAATAATTATAATTTATTTTTTAATTTTAACTATTTAAATATATTTTTAAAATATATAATTTTTAATAATATATAAAGTATTTAATATTATATAAAATATAAAAGAATAATAAAAAATATTTTAATTTAAAAATAAAATATAGTAAAGTATAATATAATGTGATAAATAATAACTTAACCTAATCTATTTTAAACTAACTTTTTATAAATATTTAATTTTATTATTAAAATCATAAAATTTATTATAATTTATAATTT